GTTTGGACTCATCACCAAGGTCCTCATCTAGACTCTAGCCATGGACAGTAGATTCCGAAAATTGAATGCATGTGGTCGCTATTTTTTTAGGGGTAATACTAAGAAGTCTCCGGTTCACTCACTTCCTAAATCCTATGTTCTTACTTTCATGCAAGTGTGTCTCCTCTCACCATTCTCTCCTTACGAGCATTTCGGATTTGTTTAGAGACGAACCAGGTTTCGAGGAAATCAGATTTTTCCTTCGCTCGTATTTCCTAGGTTAGATGGTTCTTATCACAGCAGATTTGACACTATGGTCGATTTTCAATACGGTTGTAATAAATAGTAGATTCTAACTAGGTGAAAACTATCTCAATATCGACATACAAGCTCGTGTTTCCCATTAATCAGGATACCGTGCTCAATTTCTGATCAGCTTTTTGCTCGCGGTTCAATGCTGTACCTTTTTCAGCTTCATATTTTGGGGTTTACGGCTGTTTCACTGAAGTCTTGTGCACTAAATTAAAGCTTTGTCTTTTGGGGTATTCCTATGGATCAGATTGCAAATGAACTCTTCATAGAGCTGCCAAGTTACGCCATATCGTGTCTATGTATCGACAGCGTTGATTTGTGTTCCCGAGAATCGACCCTCGTCTAAACACGTGTTACGCGTTTGTTCATTCTATTCTTGTTCTTACACGAATGCCACTCAGTCTCTTCCAAATTTTTAGAGTCCGTCGGGATCGGGGTAGCTTATAGCAGCAGTTACTTTGTTGCTCCAGCCCCTATTGATCCTGCTATAGTTCTCGTGGTGATCGATGCGAGTCAGCAACACGACAGCGCTATTGCATTGTTATGGGTTACCCAGAAACCAGACAAACGAAATAACGCACACCGACTAGTTTAATATCAAATTAAAAGGCAAGCTCATTTATTTAGGTCTCTTGTGCTCGCTTCAAACGCTGTCGAAAGTCCAAGCAGTCCGCAGTGTGCTTTGGACCGGCTGTTAGCGGTAACAGGTTTGTAGCGTATGCGAACCAGCAACGTTCAGGCAATTTGCTGGGATGATACTTGACGGTTCTATCAATTCGTGTGGCGTATTCATCATTTTTTCACAGTGTGTATGGGTTTGGGTGGGATGGGGAATGTTTGACNNTTTGACCTCAACAGTAGAATTTTACCTGATCATGATGGGTGTTTTGCTGGACTAAGTTCCCAATTTAGATGCGGGAGTGGAGTTCGCACGCGATCTGTGATTAGAATACTACATTCGGGTTAACCTTTGTAGAAGTGTCATAATTTAAAATGGTAATGGTCATACTTTCCTATAAATCAGTTCTTTGATTTATTAACGGTGGCAGTTTGCTGCTCTTTTGGAATTCGGAAATTCGATTGTTGCTCTCATTCCTTATACGGGGTTTGTTTTACCTTTGTATTTGAATAAAAACCTGGGGCCGCGGTTTGCCCAAAAATCAGACCATCAAAGGTTCTTTATCCTCTTTCCTAATCGCATCCTTCTGTTCAACCATTACAGTGGTACTTGACTTCTTTATTGCTTCCCACCTACCATCTGACGGACATAATCAGAAGATTATAAAAAGAAACATTGATTCACGCTAGTTTTCTATGGATTGCACACTGCAACCAGCTCGTTCGAATCGACCAAAACGTCGACATCATCGTCAGGATGCGTGGTCGGCAACATACGGTGATCTCGAATTGATACCACTTCATTGGGTTTTGAGTAATTTAGAAGAATGTTTACAATTGCGTAACATACCTGTCAAATATACTCCCGAGGCTCCGCGTGCAATGCAGGTAAGAAATGCCCAAAATCACAGCCCCATTGTAATCTGTCAGGCCATTTCTAGTAAGAATCTGCATCCAATTGTTGGCCGTTTTAGATCTTTCCGGTTCATTGCCACGGATCTGAGTCACTTGTTCACGAAGTATATGCGAACGTCCCTTTTCTTGTTGTTGAATTCCTTTTCAAGCATGCGCATTCTTATAAATTGGTAGACTTTTGAAACAAACGTCTTGGTTCAGTCGACGTAAGCAAACTTAAGAGAATAGACTCACAAGGACAGTGGATGTGGGTGTTTTGTCATTTCGCACATTCACGGAGTTATGTAATTGGTCATTGACTAACGTCATTCACTTGATTCATCTTGCTTGTTTGACCCTCTCCTCCTGTGTTTACACCACTGTTTTGTCGAGTTTGTTGTGAAGGCATGGACACCTAACTGTCCGTCCAACCGACATGTCCGTCTTCGAATTGTTTATCTGTCTGTCCTATCATTTTCACTTGACTTTTGTTTATGCATACCGTAAATGACGAGGCTCTCATTTGCGTCATACCATGAGCTTCCAACACCGTACACTTCGCTCGTGGACGTGGAAACCTCGGATTCGTTTCTAGTTGGTTTAGGTAGTCAACTCTTCATATATAGATGTGTGTGTGTGTGTGTGTGTGCGTCGTGTAATTTGGCATTCTCTCCGATTGTGCTTCCAAGCACGGGACCAGATAGCCCACACAGTTCCGATTCGATCTGTCCTTGCTAATTTTTGTCGATCTTGTGTGTGTTTGTGTCAATTAAGATGTGCGGCCCTGTCAGAACCTATCTATAATGGTAGGTTTTACCCTTCCCTCTTTTCGTGCAGTGAGATTTAGTCTGATTCTATTTTTTCTTCTAAAAACAATTTAAACAATATAGCCACTTCGTTCACCTGATTGCACGCGCAAACATACACTTACTATTGAATCATCATACTTTCTTGTCACCATTGTACCGTCACACATAGTGAGTCTCACATTGTCACGTGTCGTGTGATTGCATACCCCTTTTTGGGAGTTCTATGTTTTATGGCATTTGCATGTTACTTATTAGTTAACTCGCAACCAATTCAGTTTGTGCAAACTGTACATTCAACATTGAGTTCTGCGCCTACTCTCCACTCGAAGTGAACACGTTTGGGTTGTCCTGGAGTCAAACAAGCCTGATATTTTTCCAGCACACAGGACCGTATGTTTCTTCAATTCAGATTACTACCTTTTGGAGGAAAAAACAATAGGTGGACGGATGTGATTGTATGTATAATGCGCCCTAATACTTGCGTCATATATTGGTTAACTAGCTGTCGTCATGCTTTACAACGGGTTGAAAATAACTTCCGCACTTTTGTTCATTATTTATAATTTGTTAGATTATTCCGATTTTACCATAATCATGAGCTAGTTCATTTACTCCGTTATGAACCAGTTCGTTGCTGGAACGTTAGTTTGTTTTTAGCTAGTCAATAAACAACATCATTTACAAAGGCAGGGATTAACCCCATTATCTAATGATTCACATTGCCCGATGATCAGTGACTAGGATCACTCATTCCGGATTTAGTTTAATTCTGTTTTTACATGCGTAGAAAACAGGAAATGTACGTAAATAGAATGAGTTCCAATATTCGGTGGTTTTCGGGAAGAATGATGCCCGAAAGGCGGAACTGCGACAAAGGAAGCAGTCACTTGTTGCGGNTACTTTACTGTCTGCTCACGGGTTTGTAGAGTAAGCGTAGAGCTAGTTAGAACCATAAACGAGAGTTCCTGTGGCCGAGGTCGTAATCGTAGAGATAAAACATTCAGAGGTGAGCTAGTTATCACATGGATGAAGTTAGCATTAGATAAGCGATTAGATTTTTTTATCACACGGCAAGCAGCTTGTACTGCACAAGGGTAAAGTCTATAATTTTAAAGCCTATTGCACAGTGGTCGTAGAGGAACATCCATTCAAAGCACAACTTGTTGATTGTACGCTTGACGTGACTTGGCGTAGAAGTATGAAGACGCTAGCTTCAACTTTGGCTTCAGTTGGTGCAGTCCGCCTTTCAGGTTGGGGCCTGAGGAAGGAGGATTGTCGTTATTTAGAGACGCTAAGAGATATCGCCAAGAAGAGAAGTCATTAGCATGAATGCTGGGCGGTTTGCCTATTGAAATCTCATGCCCCATAGAGAAAATAATAAAGAAACACAAAAAGTATAAAAAGGTGTTCCGTGAAACAACCAAAAAATGTTATTCGTGTTACCCACCATATCTGTTTCCCCCCCACGCCATCTCACTGTTTTGTATCCGAATTCGGTTGTTATTCTTGTTGTTGAGTTGGCCCCATGATTGTTCGAGAGCCGGTGAGTATATATATATGCGACGTTATAAACGAAAGAAAAACGGATGGGCTTTCCACAGCTCCACGGTACTTGAAAAAAGGTATTGCTCTCCTGCGTTTGATATATTTTTAGAATCACTTAACGCGAGCACAATAAAGTGGAGTGGGAACCAAGTTGGCAAGCTCTGAAAAGCAGGGAGGTGATCGCACTGCGATGGGCAAATGGTTGAAGAGTGGGAGATAAGAACGAACTACGGTTATTGTAAGTAGTTTCAATTGGAAAATAGTCACTAGTGGGACGAAACCGAGCTTTGTAATGTGTGAGAGAGGCGAGGGGAGGGGAGGAGGGAGGGTTGAAAACCGCCTCGCGCCGAACTGGTAGGCGATCTCTCTGAACACAGACACACACACTGCAAGTTCCACAATACGAGGTTACCATGAGATAGAATAGGAAGATTGAAGGGTAATTAGAACTGTAGAAAATGCGAACAAAAGTGAACATGATTCGAACTGAAAATTGGGAGCACAAAAATTGTTTGCGGGATACAGACATACAAGCGCTTTTGGTTACAATTAAAACGACTCGATTTCAGTAGCCCAATTGTTGATGGTGCTAAGGTCTAGATTGAGTGAAGCACAACCGGACACTCGATTGCAATCGATGGTGTTCGAGGAGGCATGGAGGGTGTCGTGAAGAAGGGGACATAATTGCAACAAGCAGTGATAGGATTAAGAGCTTAGGATAAAGGGCAGTTGATAAAAAAGAAAGCTGGTGGAAAGTAGCATAGATCTTTGTGAGATGTAAGAGTACACTGGGATTGCTCTCAAATTCACTCAGTCACGTAGAACAAGGTTGAACCGCCACAAAGTGATGGAACACAGGGAGTGTCCAGACTTGGATGGTTTTGCTGCAAGCTCATCAGGCCCCTTGGAGATATTGAGTGAGGTCAGGTGTGACCCACCATGGTGGTTAGTGGTTGAAGACCAAATGCGTTACTTCTGTGCCAGTGGATCTGTGGTGGTAGATACCATGTTGGCGGCCGTTAAGACGTTCTCACCGTTTTAGTTAACAACAAAGTTGTTTTTGGAATCACTATTAGACAACGGATGGGTCGAAGTATTGCCTCAAGTAGGTTGTCCAATGTGGGATCATGTTTTTGTATTTCGTGTACCATGACTCCATCAGATTTCAAAAGAAAAGACCATATGGCAATACTGCACGATTTATGTCCAGGACGATTTCGCTGTATCTCAACATGGTGCATACTGCAGAAAATACAATGTTTGTATAGGGCTTTAGCATAGC